AAGCACTAGTTCACGGGATACGTCGAAGACGGGGGGAAAGTAGCACGGAGTTGTGAAATCCTGGATTGTCACACGGAGCTGTGAGATCCGAAACAGCAGTGTTGGAGAACATTGGGCGTGATTGGTGTGGGTTTGGTGATCAAAGCACCAGATCACGGGATACGTCGACCGAATCGTGGAAGACGGGGGGAAAGTAGCACGGAGCTGTGAAATCCGAAGCAGCAGTGTTGGAGGCATTGGGCGTGATTAGTGTGGGCTTAGTGATCAAAGCACTAGATCACGGAAATTCATTGTATCTAGGAACCAAGAAGTGGTGGATATAGTGAATTGCTCTTGGCTGATAAGAGCAAGTGGAGTAGGAGGATTACATCACCTCGCGAACCACTATAAATTGCCTTGTGTCATTTATTACTTTATTTACTTACTGCTATCACGTGGATACACTTGACACAATCACACAACTCGTATTTAATTATTTCGTTGCGTACAAGACTCTAACAATCTAGTTAAGAGTTTTGATATCTCTATTGCCTTAGCAATTGTTGCATTCGCGAAAAGTTTAAAAGTCTATTCACCCCCCCCCCCCCCCCCCCCTAGACTTTTACCACACCCCTTTGGGACCAACAGATACGCATAATAAAGTGTTAACATGCGCATATTAATGAATAAATTGACGCATATTCGTTTAAAAATTCCCCCACGCACATTCAAATATTGATATACGCATTTTAAATTATATTTGCTGCACATGTTTAGTTATACATACACTCACACGCATGTTAAGTGTAAATGTAACGCATATTAGAGCAATAAGGTCCGTTAGATATGTACTTGGTACTGGAAATAAGTGACAAGTCAATTTCGATGTCAGCAATTTTTATATTTCCCGTAATGGGAATCTTTTAAAGTTGACTGGTTATTCAATACTTAAAAAAATGCACCCATTGAATTTTTTTTTTTATTGGGTCTAAGTCAGTGAGTATACAATCTCATGCACATTAAGAATGAAAGACACGCATAATAATGTGTTGAGGTGCGCATATTAGTGAATAAATTAACACATATTCGTTTAAGAATACCCCATCGCACATTGTCATATTAATAGACCCATTTTAAATTATTTTGCTCCATATATTAATTTATACATACATACACATTCTAACAATGGAAAGGGATTTAAAAATGGAAGAAAAATATTTCAATATATCAAAGATAAATTAAAAACCGAAAAAAATAAATTATTTGAATAATAATAGAAAACGGATTCTTCAATGGTTGCGTTTTATTAGGCGTCGAACAACCAATTCATATTTAACTCAACCGCTAAAAAAACGCACTCATTCACGTACATTAAAATCTTAACTAACGCACACTTAAGTAGAAACGCACGCACCCGGTACGTTAAGTGTGAACGTCAATTTATTTTTAAGTTCACGAAACGGTCAACATTGAACTTCTCCAATCGGTGAATTTTACCAAGTTATTCGCCTATAAAAGTGGAGTATCACCTTACCATACAGCATATATATTGAAACGGTGTCATTTGAGTTTTACAGACCATCATTTATTCGTTGTCATTTTCTTCACATTCATCACGATGGTTATCCATCCTCATCATACTCGCCCTCCTTCTACTTGTTTGTCAATGTAGTTGATTACAATAACAACACATTGTAAACATCCCATGGATCAAATGCAATACCTCAACCCTGGAAGTTTATACGAGGATGTAAAGGAACTATTAGCGAAGCCGACCTTTTTCATCTAAAGCAGCACATTTTAAGTCTGAAAAGATCTTCTTCTGTGGATCTAAACGCTAACTGATTTGCATATTCAATTTAGAGATCAACTTTGTCTGTAAGTTGAATATACATGTGGGGCAATCCAATACATCTGGATCAGTTAGATTTTAGATTCATAGAAGTCGATCTTTCCAGGTTTAGAATGTGTTGTTTTAGCCCAGACATGCGGCAGGATCCTCTACTCCATTTGGAGATATATCTTTTGGTACCTTAATGCAGGCTTAACCAAAAGGAATATCTCCAAAAGGTATAGACGGATCCTGTCGTTTGCATGGTTTTTCTTTTTGTTATTAAAAATAAGCTCTCATGTCCGCTTCATTATTATTGTTGTTGTTGTTGTTGTTGTTGTTATTATTATTATTATTATTATTATTATTATTATTATTATTATTATTATTATTATTATTATAGTTGTAATAGTAGCAGTAGCAGTTCAAAGTGTAAATTATTTCAATGTAAATAAAAAATCTTTTTGCATTTTATTCATTTTTTTTGTTGTGTTGTTTTTGATAATGGTTAAATAAACTAGCAAATCCGAGTACCATTAGACAAAAATCAATGGACATTATGTAATTTGGGATCTTAATAGTTTCGTGTTACATGATAATTTAATAGAAAAATTCACGCACATTAAGAATTTTTTTCAAGGAAATATAAGTTATTAAAAAAGCACATTAAGTCCAAATTCTACGCATATTACTATGTCCGGAAAAAAAAAACATTCAGACTCACGTATTTTCTAATGCACATTATGTTACTGTATTGCGCATGTTAAGTTTTTTTGTATTTGCCATGGACTATAGTTTTAATACATAAAGCAACGCACATTTTATTGTCGTATTACGCATCTTAAGCGTACGTATTGCATTTTAAATATATTCCTTTTTTTTGTTTTTAATTTTCAGGAATTGTTGTTTAACATTTTTCATATAATTAAATAGATGAGCCCACTAGCGAAATGGTAGAAGCCTTTGATCATACTAATTCCGCCCAGAAACAAACCCCCCTAAAGACCTGATATTTTTATTATATTTTTTGTTTAATAATGAACGGGGCGCAAGTTAAATGTTAATAAATGCAGGTAAAGCAGTTGGCATTCACGATCGATCAAAGTTTTTACGCATAAACAAAAAGCACGGTCTGTTAAAGTGTTACGCATATTACGCATGAGTGTAGCATTTGGTAGTTGAATCCATGCACATTAGCACTTAAATATACACATCTTAAAGTGATATTTCGTGCACTTTAATTGGTTTCCCGACGCACTTTAAACTTTTGGCTTTTAAAAATCTCTTATTTCGATTCAATTTAATTAAATGTATATTTACACGCATATTGTTCTTGTAGTTCGCGCATGTAACAAAGCAAAGCAAAGCAAAGCACATTAAGTCTTTTATACCAATCCGTCTTTACGTAATATTCAAAGATATTTGATGTCAGAACTTTAAGGCATTTGTAGTTGGGGAAACGGATAACATTGAATGGTCATTCAATGCCTTAAAAAACGCACCCATTAAAGGAAATCTTGAAAAATCTAATGTGTCTGTAAATCACGCAACATTGAAATCTCAAATCAGTGCATGTGACCAAGTTATTCACCTATAAATTAGAAAGAACGACACACAACTGAGCATTCGGTTATTGAAATGGCTACCTCTCACGTTTCTGCACGTACAGAAGAACCATCTTCATTTATTCCTTATCTTCTATGTCCTTTTCATTTTCCTCGCCCTCCAGCTTGTAGTGATTGTAACTAACTACAAAAAACAACACATTCTAAACCTGAAACATCATTCGTCATTCTCAGCTGCAAGCTCATCATGCTGCAACCAAATATCATCCAAGGCTGAGAGTTGAGCATTGTGGCAGGCTAGCAGCGTGTCGGATGCTGCCGGAACCAGAAGAGATGTCTTCAAAGTACTAGAAAACACACACTGAATGTGTTTGGTTTTGTTTCAATGTGTATTTGCATTTATAAATACTAACATATTAGAGTGTAAATTATTATTATTAATATAGAAACCAACGCTCATTGTGTTCTCATATTACGCATTTTAAATTGATATGTCGCGCATGTTAAATTCAAATCATAAAGTACTAAATCGATCATGTATTTAAGCCAACAGGGGTTTACCACGGGAGGATTCCATGATAACTTGGGCGGACGACATTGTGGTTTACAACCAAAAATAAATAAATAAATAAAAAATCGATTATGTATGTGCCATTTTATCTGCAAATTATTTCATAATCAAACAAACGCACTTTAAGTTTTGCAATCGCGCATATTAGACTAATTTTTAACGTATCGTGTATTAACTAATAAATAAATGCATATTAGAAAAAGAGAGTGTTAAATATTGTCTTTGTCCAGATTACACATCTTAAGCTTTAATGTCGCGCAAGTTAAACGTTAATCAACGCATGTAAAGACTTTGGCATTTACCACGGACCAAAGTTTTTATACATAAACCAACGCACATTCTGTTTCAGTATTACGCATATTAAGCCTTTAGTGTAGCGCACGTGAAAAGTGTAATCAACGCATATTAAGAATTAACTGCACGCACGTAAAATATTAATGTAACGTCGTTTAAGCTAGTAGCAGTGATTGTTAAACACAAATCATTGATAAAAACAAAAACTAGTAATAGCTGAACATTAAATTCAAGTATCTCAACTGTAAAAGTGTTCTAAAATGAGTTAACTAAGTATTTGTGTTTCATATTTGCTATTTAGTTTCCTTCTCAACTGTAAAGGCATTGTAAAAATAGACTGCTATGCCTTTTTCTTACCCTTTTGTTTGTCCTTATTTTTGGGGTTAAGTGGGCAAGTCCTGGTGTCATGTTGATCTCCTCTAACACCACAAAAATTGCACCTCCTGCCCTTTTCTTTTTCCATTGCCAACTCCTTGCTGCTTTTGATACGTTTACCACTGCCCTTGTTCTTTGCATGTTTCGGTGGAAATATATTGATCTCTGAAATCTCTGTTGATCCACAAAATGATTTTATAACAGTCTTCCTGCTGTGTTGAGGGGATAACTTTTCCTTTCCTGACATTAGCATCTGTTTCTGTTCATTAATCACTTGCGAAAATGCAGCCAGTTGCTCCATGTTTGAATCTGCTAGATCAATACAACAGTGTACATCAGACCACAGTTTGTTCAGCAACATCTTCTTTTCATCCTTTGGTCCATTCTAATCATAAATAACACCATCTATTTCAAATGTAGCCTTTAAAGATGCATCCTTAGTCCACCGATTAACCACATACTTCAGAGGGATCTTTTCAAGGTCTCTAAAGACCACAAGTATGTGTCTACACAACAGTCCAACCATCTCAAACATCTTGCAACTGCATTTGGCCTCATGGTCATTTACATTGTGCACCACACTAAATATTTTGCTCTTTCCATCCATAATATCATAGTGTAACATTCCACCATCTTCTCTAACACTCAACACCATACATTTGAAATAGGAGGCACATATTTCTTCCTGAACTTGATAGAAAACAGTAATGGTGTAAACGATTGAAGCGTGTTTTTCGATCCCCAGAGACGTCTTCATATCTAGATTGTAGCCTTCATTGTCACTGTTGAGCTTTGCGTTTGTGTTACGTTGTGATTTAAGAGCACTGTCAAAGTTCATCATGAATTCAACTAGGCTAGACTGTGGGCCAGTAAAACGGTTGTACGTGTAATTCTCACTTTCTGAACGAGACGTTGTCCTGAGCAGACCCCCCATAAAGTCATCTCTAAAATAGGTTGGGATCCAATGGTTTCTAGCCTCAAACATAGTTATAAACCAATTGTGTTCGACTAAGTTGTACTTTTCCATTAGCTCTCTCCACTATTTCTCAAAATCAGGAGGTTCCAAAGATGACGTCCAAACGATTGAGTTCAGTTTGTTCTTGAACTCCTCATTCATGTTCAACGTAGGACCCACCTTTTTCCCAACTTTACACATAATGTGCCACATGCAATAGCGATGCCTGGCTTGCTTGAAAACTCTTGGAATCGCCACTTTCATAGCTGAATCTTGATCAGTGACGATTATTCTTGGTTCCATACCCATTGCCTTTTTAAATTTTTCAAAGAGCCAAACATAAGACTCAATGTCTTCTTTCAACAATAGTCCAGCTCCAAATGTTATACATTTTTTATGGTTATCAACTCCGGTGAAGGGTGTAAAAACCAGATCGTACCTACAAGACAAAAAACATCATCACAGTATTCAGGTGTCAAACTGGCGCACTTAGAGCATTAAAGTAACGCACATTAAGTTTTAAATTCGCGTTTACATATGTACTTGAAGTCTAATTATGGATGTTCCACATTAATATGTGCGACATTAGTGTTTAACATGCGCGGTATAAAACGACAATGTGCGCTTATTTATGTTACAATTATTTTCAAGTAAACAGTGAACATGTCTAAATCTTAACGTGACTCAACATATAAGGCAATGCTTAATGTGAATTAATTAATGAAGCGTACGCAAGAATGCGAATAGAATAATACCTGTTGGTTGAATATGTGGCATCAAAAGAGACAACATCTCCAAATGCACCAAAATTCTTTTTTGACATTGGATCTGCCCAAAATAATCTACTCATCTTCATCAACTTCATAGTCAAAAGCAAATGCAGGGCACGTCTCTTGTTTTTTAATAAGATTATGCACGAGTATTTGTGCATCAGCACCCAATATGTATGCTCTGAGATCCCTTCTGACATTTTTAAAGTCAACTACAGTTGCCCCAACTTCAGAGTAATACCCCACAATCTGACTGTATAAACTGTGTGATTTTGATGCTCCAATATTTGCCTTAGCACAATCTAGTATAAACTTCTGATGAACACTGGAGATGTTTCTATTTCCCTTTAGGAACTGCCTTGCAAGAACAGAAGACATGTTGTGATTGTGTTTTTCAATAAATGTCTTAACTTGGTACCCAGCTGCTCCAATGTACTTAAAAAATAATCCTAGCTCTGCAACCAGTTCTGTTTGAAACCCTCCGTCGCTTTGGACGCGAAGGACCTTCCCCCTCATCTGCATTTGATTTTGAGTGACAATGTTGAGCACCCGTATTCTTAAATCCCTCTCTATTGCAAACGATTTGCTTTTGAGTTTTCGTCCCATCGCGTGCTATAGTGAGGGAACTAGACCTCGTGTCAAACCCGCCTTTGGCAGAATAATTATTGTACAATTCAATACCAGCATCCAATGGTTTAAAAATCATGTCAACCGCTGGTTTGATTTCATCTTCACAGTGCGGAGTCCAATACTGTGTCATTCCAGGAGATATGGTCAATGTATAACCATTGCTGCTGCTGCTAGAACTCAAACTAGGGTTGTTTGGAGATTGCAAGTTACTGGGAACTGTAACATATAAGCATGAAGTTATTATTGCGTTGTTGTAAGACTCTACGTGCGTAGTGTGAATACTTAATATGCGTTAATATAATCAGATCATTGCCAATCTGTTAGGTTTATAAAATACAAGAGTATATGCGTCAGGTGAGCACTTAACGTGCGTTAGGGTAATAGTTAGAGTGCGTATGTTGAACATTTAACATGCGTAAGTGTTTTTTAAAATGTTAGGTCTTTATTTAACGTGCATCAGGGATTCGATTAACATTAACATGCGTCTGGAAAGCACTGAACGTGCGTGTGTTTAACAGTTAACATGCGTAAGGGTTGTTTAAAATTTTACGTGGGTACTTAACTGGCATCAGTGAAAACTGTAATATGCACATTTGTAAAAATTAACATGCGGCTACTTAATCATATACGTGCGTAAGTCTTTAGGCTCGGAATAATTCAAGTAGGTCAGTAATTCAGTTGTTAAGTTGCATGCATGTAGTTTTTAATGTGCGTGTAATTAAGACAAGAAGGAGGCCAATACAAGAGCAGATAAAATTAATTCCAAATAAGCTGTTAGGAATAAAGTGTAATGGTTTTGATATGCCAAATTTGTATTTGTAGATCCCCCAATTTTATTTATAGGTCTAGTAGAGTCTTAGACCATGATCTGGAAATTATTTAAATTGGAAAGAGAAAAACAGAGGAAGATGCATGAAAATAGAAGAAGAAGATATAAAGCCGAAAATCAAGAATTTGTCTGGAGAAAATGACAAATTGAAGAAGAAGATGAATGATATGAAATCACGTCAATGCTACTCAAAGAAGATATCCCAGAAGAATTTTCGTGAAGAAAATTAATATTGGAAGAATGCATGAAATTGACTTGGAGATCAAGCATCTATGGAAAGATAGGAGTACATCAAATGTGATTGGAGATTTAATCAAAAGTTGTACGGACGAAGTGGATGATGCCTGATATATTATGCGAAATGGCTCAGATTTGAAACTCATCATTAACAATTTTACAAGGTAAAATTTGAGAAGCCAAATTAAATTAATCTGATGGAGTTGGGCACTAGTTTAAGCTTTGGGTGCCGATTACAAGTGGAAATCGGGAAGCAATTTCACTTGGGTGGCAATTGAGATGCAATTTCACTTGGGAGCCAATTCAAAGGAATTAGGTGCCAATTTCATAGCAATTGAAATTGGGAGCCAGTTTCAGAGAAAATTGAAATCAATTCAAGATGGGAGCCAATGTAGAATTGAAATTGGGAGCCATGAGGTGGGAGCCATGAGGTTGTAGTAGACATGAAGATCAAATTGAAAATTGGGGAGAAAATTGAAATCAATTCAAGATGGGAGCCAATGTAGAATTGAAATTGGGAGATAGCTGGGAGATGGGAGCCAATGTAGAATTGAAATTGGGAGCCATGAGGTTGTAGTAGACATGAAGATCAAATCAATTCAAGATGGGAGCCAATGTAGAATTAAAATTGGGTTGGGAGCCATGAGGTTGTAGTAGACATGAAGATCAAATCAATTCAAGATGGGAGCCAATGTAGAATTGAAATTGGGAGCCATGAGGTTGTAGTAGACATGAAGATCAAATTGAAGAGGAATTGGGAGCCATGAGGTTGTAGTAGACATGAAGATCAAATCAATTCAAGATGGGAGCCAATGTAGAATTGAAATTGGGAGCCATGAGGTTGTAAATTCAACACCAGGAGAAGTCTGGGAGCCAATTTCGAAGTCAAAGTCAACAATTCAAATTGGGAAGCAATTGAAAGCACAATTTCGAAGTCAAAGTCAACATTTCAAATTGGGAAGCAATTGAAAGCACCAGGAGCAGTTTGGGAGCCAATTACAATGAGTCAATTGGGAGCCAATTACAATGAGTCAATTGGGAGCCAATTACAATGGAGAAATTCAAATTGGGTGCCAATTACAAGCCAATTGAAATTGGGTGTCAATTACAAAGGAGAAAAAGCCAATTGAAATTGGGTGTCAATTACAAAGGAGAAATTCAAATTGGGTGGAAGTTCAAAGCCAGTTTGAAGTCTGAGAACACCCAGACGTGAGAATGATTACAATGGAGAAATTCAAATTGGGTGCCAATTACAAGCCAATTGAAATTGGGTGTCAATTACAAAGGAGAAATTCAAATTGGGTGGAAGTTCAAAGCCAGTTTGAAGTCTGAGAACACCCAGACGTGAGAATGAAGAAGATGAAGATGAACTTACAGTGAAAATATTCTAACAAGGAAAAATACTAGTTTAACTAGTATGGGATTAAATTGAAGAATATTTTTTAAATCCCAAAGATACAAGGACCACTTCAGAGCTAATCAGAGAAGCCGTTCTACACCCAGATATTCCCACTCAACGTAAAACCAGAGGAAATATCAGATGAAGTTTGAGAACCCATTTACATGGAGATGAAACTCTAACAACGGCTAGCTTATCCTTTCTGACATCTTTGCAGAAGATAAGATAAGATCTCTGACAAAAAGATACAAGATTTCAAAAATGAGAGCGTCTCTTTCCAACGGACAGATTCTCATTACCATCTATAAAATGATGAAGATATGAAGACTTGAAGATAGAGCAGACAAGAGAGCAAGAGCATAAAATACGAACTCAACAAGGAGATCGAATAGAGCAATTAAGCTTGAAAGAGCATAGAGCAAAAATCTCATTTGGTACAGAGCATACCAAAAATCCTCAAGTGAGAAGTGAAAAAAGAAAAAGAACTCAGAGAGCTTCAAGAGAAAAATATTCTAAGAGTTCTTAAACAGAGCAAAGCAGAGCAAAAATATCAAGTGCTTTACTTGATATATTCAAAGAGAGAAAACACTCAGAGCTATCAAGAGAAATCATTCCAGAGTGTTTATCTTCATTAAAGAGACCTACGCATCATTGAAGATCAACTACAGAGTCTCAGAAGTTGGAAGCAAGACAACACTTGTTTTGGAGCAAAACAAGAGAAGGGAGGAAAGTAGCACGGAGCTGTGAAATCCTGGATTGTCACACGGAGCTGTGAGATCCGAAGCAGTAGTGTCGGAGGCACTGGGCGTGATTAGTGCAGGCTTTGTGATCAAAGCACTAGATCACGGGATACGTTTCTACTGGAGTGTGGAAGACGGGGGGAAAGTAACGCGGAGTCGTGAAATCCTGGGATAGTAGCGCGGCGACATGAAACCCGAAGCAGCAGTGTGGTGTCACTGGGCGTGATTAGTGCGAGCTTTGTGATCAAAGCACTAGATCACGGAAATTCATTGTATCTTGGAACCAAGGAGTGGTAGATATAGTGAATTGCTCTTGGAGATAAGAGCAAGTGGAATAGGAGGATTACACCACCTCGCGAACCACTATAATTGTCTTGTGTTCTTTACTGCTTTCTTTACTTACCGCTCTTTACAATATTCGCTCT